CCCCCGGGACCCCCCTGGGAAGACACCTCTGCTTGGTGTGAGGAGAAAACCGCTGGGCTCAGGGGCTTGGGGAACTTGTACTCTCCCAGCAACACCAACATTCAACCCCCAAGGCTTCATTTTCAGCTCTGTGACACCAAGTCCTACCCTGGGCAGCCTCAGCCCACACCCACCCATGCTCTTGGGCCCATTCAGTGTGAGATTCTCAGATTTAGGGTTTCACTGTCCATGCAAGTTCCCCTGTGATGGCACGTCCCTGAGTAGGAATGTTTGGGGCACGGAAGGGACAGGATGAAGCTGTGTGATAACAATAGGAAGTCCCCAGCTCAACACAGCCACATACCAGTTCATGTGGATTAAAAACCAGAGTCCAGACTCTTGGTTTAGGACAGAATGTTTTTTGAGTCATCAGCTCTCAGACTTTCCCTCCCATTTTCTAGTGTCACCAGAAATTCAGCTGAACAGAAGCAGATGAGAGGGACACCCTGCACCCCCACGTGAGCTTATGGCTTTGGGACACCCACAGAGGGAGGGCTGCTGGAGTTGGTACAGGAACAGGCAGAGACCAACAGAACACTTTTCAGAGGTTCTTATTGGGGTAGTGAGAAATGGTTTCACCTCAGGGCACAGGAGTGACGTCAGGAGAATGAGGCAGGTTTAGAGGAGGGACATGAATCCACCCCACACACCAATGCCACTGTGAATTACACCCGAAAGGAGACTCCCAGATGGAAAGAGCGAAGCCAACAATGGAGCGGATTTTAGTAGCGAGAAGTCCTCCGAGTTGGTTGTTGGAGGGCAGCCTTGGCACTGCCCAGTTCCATGGGGTGGAGGATGGAGCCTGCTGGCAGCAGGGCCCCGCTGAGAAGGCAGCAGGGGTGCACCTGAGCAGCCCTCCCACCCAGCTTCTCGCCTGCTGCCACTTAGGCCAGCAGCCAACAGCCTCAACAAAAGCCTTTTCATGGAGAAACGAGTGTGAGGAAGGCTTTGGTGCCTGAGCTGGTAGGATGGCAGCGCGGAGCATTTTCTCCCTCCAGCGCAGATGGGTGCCGGGGCGGATGGATAAAGGATGGACAGCAGGGCAGAACGGCTGTGACGAGCAGGAGCCAGCAATGACGTCCCCGCTCCACAACACAGGGCGGTTTTGACTAGGCTTCTACAACAACTCATCTACAAGATACATTCAGCAGCGGCGTCAAGTGTTGTGGTTGGAAATACTCTGTTTGTTTCCTTTCCCTCCCCATCTTCAACCGGTGGGGAGGGGAAAGCCACTAGCTCCAGAGCACACCTTTGTCTTTATTTTGTGACTTGATGGATGGCATGAGCCAGGTAACCTACATTGCCCGATGTAACTCCCGCCACAGAGATTCGTCCGTCTTTTGTCATATAGATGGAGAACTCCTTGATCAGCCGCTCCACCTGGGGTGAAAGAGCAGAGTTCAAACTGCAGGCCAACCTCCACTCTTGTTAGCAGAGTGCAAATTTACCCAGCTTGCCAGAACTGAAAGCAAACTGGGTGCCAGCAGACATGGCATCCTGCTCCCTGTGGAGCCAGCAGTGCACCCTGTGAACCCGGAGATGCCGCTCAGCTCTCAGGTGACACACAAACACCGCAGATCTCCAGCCAGGAGTCACCTCACTTGAGCTGACCTTCAAGGTCACCCCAGAACAGCACCAAGTGACTGCTTCCTTTGACAGATAAGCAGACTAGGTCTGCTTTCAACCTCTACAAGCACAGCAGGGAACAGAGCAAGACCTGGGTCCCCATGATGCTCCAGTGCTGAGGGCCTGGGGGATGTTCCTCCTGGAGGAAGAACTGCTGACAAGGGCTCATTTTGGCCCCTGCAGTTGAGCTCTTACTGACAAGGACTGTGAATGACACCTCGAGACCACAGGAACTCTGTTTACCTGCTCAGGCTTCAGCCCTGTGAAGCAGAACATGCCGATCTGGTCAGTGATGTGCTGCCAGTTGTGGGAGGATCCTTCTTTCTTGAGGTTGGACACCAGCTGATTCCGCATGCTGATGATCCGGTCAGCCATGCCCTTCACCTCTACGAGCCTGAGAAGTCAACCCAGGAACTGCTCAGAGCAGGCTGGCACACACCAATGCTGCTTCCTGCCCCACAACTACCAGAAAGCAACCTCTCCACCTGGAAGGGCCTCATACCCCCAAAACACAGGGCAAGCAGATAAGCAAAGACTAGAGAATGTGAACCTGGAGCAGCTGGGGAGCTGCTTCTTTCTCCTCATACCAGAAGGTGACTTTTTATTTATTTATGCCATAGCTGTTGGACACTACTACAAGAGTATCAGCATCTCTCAATTCTGAAAGCCATGGGTGAGTAGGAGGCCTCATGGCAGTACTGCCCAAACACAGATAAAATAACATCTGCAGATAAATGAGGAGTGCAGGGGTACTCCCAGCACAGGCAGACATCCCAGCTCCAGGGCAGCACAGCTAGGAGACGTCTCTGCTGGTCCCTGGATCAGGCACAAGGGCCAGCCTGCCAGAGGAACAGCTCCCGGCAAAGCCACAACACACAGCAGGCTTTGTTCTGCCAGGCCAGCTGCCGGCAGGGACTCGACACCCAGTGGCTGGGAGAGCAGCACAGGCTGACACCAGGAAGCAGGCTTAGGGCATAAGGGTTACATTCCTGGGTCTTATTCCCAGGGGGCTTATGCTTCCACTGCCCCCACGTGAGACATGCTACATGGCTACAATGACTCGTCAGTCTTTTCCACTCCTTGGATAGGCAGCTCCTACAGCCCTCAATGCTAGGGGAGCTTTATCTCCTCCTTTACAGTGTTTTTTGTCTTGGTAACACAAGGGAAACTTGCTTGTGTCAGGCTGGACCGATACCAGCTGATGCCAAGACACGAGCAGGGATTTCTCCACAGGAAAGGGGTGGCACATGGTTCTGACTGCAGCCCTGAAGCTAAGAGCTGCCCACAACAGCAGCAGGCAGTAAGCACAGCACAGGGCTGCCACAGAGACCTTGCATCTCGCTGTTGTGAACATTAGGGGTTCCCTCTTACCACTCCTTCCGTAGGTCAGGGGTGTTGAGGATGATAGAGGCAATGCGGGCTCCGTTCAGGGGTGGGTTGGAGTACATGGGGCGGATGAGGATCTTCAGTTGTGACTCGACCCTCTTGGCTTCCTCTGCATCACTGCAGATCACCGTGAAGGCACCCGCACGCTCTCCTGAAAGGCGGGCAATCAGGTGTATGCAGTATGCAAGCCTCTGCCCTTGCATACCCAGGGCTGGGGCAGGACTTGTCCCAAAGCCACATCTTTTTAGTGTGGCCCTGATCCCTAGGAGGGTCTCCACCAGCTCTCCACCAGCTCCCAGCGGGTTCTCTCTTGTGCCCCAATCAGCACTGCAGGATCAACTCAGGCAGCACAAAGACACAGGCTGCTAAACCCCAGAGACCCTCCAAGAGCCCAGATGAAACCACTTCCACACCACCTGCCCTACTCACCATACAGCCCCATGTTCTTGGCGTAGGACTGTGACAAGACGACGTTGATGCCCTGCTCGATGAAATACCGCACAGCCCAGGCATCCCGGTTGATGTCCCCGCTGGCAAAGCCCTGGTAGGCCATGTCAAAGTACACAAGGAGGTTTCGTTTCTGCCAGCAAAGAGGGAAGAATGTCACAGGAGCTGAACACCCCTCCAGGAATCAGGGCAGCAGGCTGAAAGAAGCCACTGCAGGCAGCAGCCTGCTCACCTGCAAACTGTGCTCCTCCAGAAGTAGAGCTGTTCCCCTTTGCCACATGAGAGGCAGCCCAAAACCCACAGCTACCCAGCACACATCAAAACAGCAGGTCAAGACCCTCCCAGCACATTTATGGGATGTGAGGTCTGGCCCAGAAGGCAGAATTAGGTTCAGCAGTAATAAATTGCTCCATTTCAGTGTCTCCTGTATTATTGGTTTCCAGGAAAACCACCTGGGAACCCTCTGGGCAGGTGCCAGCCCTCACAATGCCTCCAGGCAGATAACCCAGCCACACTGCCCCTCGACCAGGAGACTCACAGCCATCTGCACGCCCCAGAGCCCACCTTGGCATCTACCAGTTCTCATGACACTACTAAGGCCAAGCATCCTCAAGCCAAATTTCACTGGCTACAGCTTGGAGGAGCAACAGGGAGAAAGAGGAGAAAGATGAAGGAAGTACCTGCACCTATCTGTTTCCAGATGAAGCTGGTGAGAAGACAGCAGGCACTTGAAAGACCTTCCAGCATTTTTAACACACAAGTACTGGGAGCTCCCCTCCAGCTAGCACAGCTCACTCTTTCGACCCTGCTGCTCTCCTTTCAGGTCTCCCTACCCCAGCTTCCTGGCAAGGTGCCAGAAGAAAGTCTGATGGCCAGCTAGAAGCTTTATGGGTGCATTTGTCTGGCTCCTGTCTTCAGTACTCCTGTACATGACACCCATCCTGGCCTCAGAGAAGGAAGTAACCTCTAGTGCAGTGAAGCCCAGAAGCCATCCATGAAAGCTCAGAGGTGTGTTTTTTCCAGGACCAGCACAGTACCCCTGGGACACTACTGCTCACCTTCACCATAGCTGCCAATTCCTTCCATTGCTCCTGCCGGGGATCCACCCCAGTGGGGTTGTGAGCACAAGCATGCAATAGGATGATGCTCTTCTCTGGAATTTTCTAAGGAAGATGTTACAGAGAATGAATTATTAATTACATCTGAGCACTCTCCTCAGCAGCTGATGAGACTTTTGCCCTAGAAAGCTTAGATGAGCTCTGCAAGGCCTCTAGCCTTGCTTTGGTGACCTCAGGCATCATATTTAGGCTAAAGCAAGAAGATCATCCATCTGCCCACATCACCCCTCTGCTTCCAGGCATGAAAGGCAACTCACGGAAATGTCATCCATGGCTCCAGAAAAGTCAAGGCTGCACGTCTTGGGGTCATAGTAGCGGTAAGCCTGAAGTTGCAAGCCAGCGTCACGGAAAATGGGTGTGTGATTGCCCCAGGATGGTTTGGGTAGATACACATCACGGCTAGACTTGAAGAACCGTTGCTGATCAAGAGAAAGACAGAATGTTCAAAGAGGTTGACCAGATTCAAGCAGTTAGAAAACTCCAAAGAGTCAGCTGCAATTAAAGTACATCTTTTCCTTCCACCACCAGCCAGGGACTCACCAAAAAGTTGGCTCCAATTCGCAGAGATCCAGTCCCAGAAATACCCTGCACAGTCACGTACTGTAAGGACAGAAACAAGTAGATGAGCCTGAGAAGCCAGGGTATGATACAGGGAAAGCCCAGTCACTATGACAGCACTGGCAGAAGCACAGCAAAATGGGGACATGGGGCTGGAGGAGACTGCATGGGTTTGTGACTCCAGTTGCAGGGAATTGGGACCCGCCACAAGATCAAATCTGCTCCTTGGGAAGGGCTGTTTCACCCCAGCCTTCAGAGGAAGCAGTTATCCTTGGGCCTGGCAGGCTGGCACCTCAGAGGCATGAGTACCCCTGCCAGTTCTCCCACTTTTGCCGGGCACTCATGTAACTAACAGTGCATCAGACAGCGCTGCCCACCCCCTGCTTCCCAGCCTGCTCCTTACCCGGCCGCTCTTGAAAGCCTCACTGTTTTCACCCAGAGCCAGTTCTGCAGATGCCCGGGTGAAATCCGCTAGCCCTGCAATGGGCAAGTACTCCTTGTCCATCTTCTTGGATGCTATCATGGCCTCCGCCTGGGAAGTAGGACACACATTCAGCAAGGAAGACATCCCCATGGAGAGGATGGTGGACAGCTCAAGGTCACTTCACATTCACTCGCTCAAAAGGGGCAAAGGTTGGTTTACAGAAGCTTCCTTGCAGAGATCAGGGCTCCTTCCAAGCAAAGGGCAGCAGTAAACATTTCAGGTGAAACCCTGCTTTTACCATGGGGCACAGTGCCCAGCAGCTGTGCCCAGCAGCCACCAGAGCCCTCAGTGGGTGCTACCATCGGTCAAGCAGAGCCAGGAAACCTGATGCTAAAGGAGAACACCACTTCCACCCCGTTACAAGTCCACAATGCTGCACAAGGACACATGTTTCTTTGCCCAAGCAGGAACTGTCCTGCAGAAAGGTGAGTTGACTTACTGAAAGGCAGAGGCAGAGATTGTCTCTACACAGGGAGACACCCCCAAACCAGGTAGGGTAGCAAGCCCTTTGTAGGGAGTGTTATTGAACTAGATAGAGCAGTTTAAAAAAAAAAATAAATAAAAATATCCAGAAACTCTGGCCAATTTTGAGAGCCACCTGTGTGAAAGGTAGCTCACCCAAACCTGAAACATGGTTCCCCCCAGCTTTGCTGATCTCTACTTCTTTCAAGCAAATCTCACATCAGAAACTGGTCCAAGTTCTTACCTAACACAGGATCAGAGAGTGGAAGCAAGAGCAGCAGATAAGGATCCATGCTCAGGAAAAATGTAGTGATGGGGAGACCTGGAGCACTCTGGGAACCCTACCTGTGCTCCCAGAGCAGTGAGACAGACCCTGGCAGCATTCACATACCACCAGGAAACTTTGTGACAGCATCCAGGCTCCTGGTTGTGACCCAGCTGCAATACACGCTGACACAGAGAGAGTGAGGGCAAGGGATGGCTTTAAACCCCACACTGATGCACAATGTATCCTCCCTACACCAAAGGAGCCAGTCAATACACGTGTTAGCCACCAGTTATTTAACAGCTTACTTCTATGCTTACAGCCCTGAAAGGCTCTGTAATCCCCTCAAGGGCAGTGTCTACATCCAGCTCCCTGGGCTGAAGTTTCAGACTGGCTTATGGAGAAACTGGTAACCACGGCTCAGCAGAATTTTAAGACTAATCGATCAAGGGGACAATGTCAGCTCTTTCCTCTCATGTTGGCTGGCCCAGGGAACATCAGCCTATTCAAGAAACACCTTGAAGTTCAGAGGAAAGCGGGGTTGGAGGGCTCATCGAAGTCAGCAATAAATTATGATTTACTCAGATGGAAACAGGACACATACTCCCTGTTTTATCTCCTACTACTCAACAGCTCTGTTGTGTCTCAAAAGCATTAGAACTGCTGTGGGAACATCCAGGAACACTGTCCTGCTCTATTAGAGACAAAGCTTGTTCTAAGGACCAAACCTTGCTTGGAAGCCTTCCCCCTCCCTGGCCCCAGCCCTGCCCAGTTGCCAGCACCAGGCTCACCTTGCGAACACAGTTCAGGACGAACGGCTTCCCATTGTCATCCCGGTACGCCCCCACACCCAGATTCATCTTCTTGGAGTTGGTGTCGCGCTTGAAAGCTTCTGTCACCCCCAGGATAGGGTCGGGGGGACCCATCTCCACATGGGACCACCATGAGCTGAAAGGAAAAAAAAAGCAGCTAAAAATTGGGCTTCTGAAATGGGCAGACACATGCACCAAGATGGCTAGAAAGAAAACCTGAAGGAAATCTTGTCTTTAAACCACTGAAAAAGGTACCAGCAGTGCTGAGAATTATTCAGGAGAAAAAAGTTCAAGTCCTTTATGCTCCATGATCTGGCACTTCATTTTACATTGCAGAATGGGCAAAGAGCCTCAGTTCACTGTGGCTGAAGGTAACTGACTCCCTCCAAGTTGTTAACATATAGAAATGGTTCTGCTTGCCTTATTGTGCTGACACCAGAAGGCCCCAGGAAACAGAAGTCTTAAACCCTTATGCTCTGGCCAGATGCCATCTCTTCTCAGCCTACAGGCAGGGTCGCATAGGTTAGTCCCCTCCAGGGAACCTCAGCCAGACTCAGGCAATTGCACAGAGTATGAGCACAGAACCTCTTCCAAACTCCTGGAAGGACTCTTGTGCATGAGAACTAATCTGCTTTTCCCGCAACACCGCCTGACCTAACAAAGGTATTTCCCTTCCCTGCCCTACAAACTCTGCCTCACTTGAAGAGGGATGTTGCAGCCAAATGCCGTTTTCCTGGAAACTGCAGAGGGCAATTTCTTCCCAGTGTGACAAGCTTCAGCATGAAGGCCCCTTCCCTTGCTGTCAAGCACAAAACCTCCCTGTGTCAGGAGGTGTTTTGTGCCCCACTCCCCAGCAGCCACTCTACAAACCACCTGCCTCTGCCCTGTTGGCAGGACATCCTGGAGACGGAGAGGCTTTCTTAATGTCAAGGGCAGACCAGACCATGCTATAAAAAGTAACCCGTTATTCTCTCTTTGGCCACAGCCCCTGCCCAGTCCCAAATCCAGGCTTTGCAGGTTTGTAGATAGCACAAGAGAAGCAGTGTTGTGGTTTTTAACCTGCCTGGCAGAGGGCTACAGCTGTAACAGCCCCCTCCTGAAGACAGGATTGCTAAAGATGACGACTCCACGCAGCTCTGAGCATCCTGACTCACAGCATCACACTGGCCCTTACCCAGACCCCTGAGCTGGGTGGGGGACAAAGCATGCAGCATGAGTTATTGGGTTTATACCTTCTGGGGAAGGATTCAGTCCTGATTACTAAAGGAGAAGCTCCCACAGGTAATGCTGCCACATATCAGCTTTACAAAGCTTTGTAGCCCAGGGAAGGCCACCTCACGTGAAGATAACAGGCTTTCGCAACACAGGGACACTGTCCCTGGGGCTGGATCCTGCCCCAGACCTCGAATGCAGCCTGGAGCCACCCCCGGGAGAGCCAGACCTCCTGCTGTGTGGTGACAGGCACAGCACATCTGAAGGCAGCAGGACCAGGGTTAAGGAAGGTCTAACACTTTCCTCTCCACTTCGTCCTTGCTTTGGGTCTATTTAGACCCAGTTTACTCACTCCACGAACATACTTTGAGCTAGCATATGTATACAGATTGCATCTCACAGAGCCCCAAACATCATTTGTCCTCCTGACTTAACTGCTCTTCCCATCAGCACAGTACTTCCAAAAAAAAAAAATAAAAAATCGCTATTTCTCCTCTTGAGAGACTCTGTAGAAAAAAGGGTAGCCAACATGTACAAGGCAGACCCACCTTGGGTAGTTTAAAAATGGAAGATGTGCTTAGCATTTTCTAGACCACTAACAAGTCTTAATTACCTCTCGGGTAAGTACAGGATCAATTTAGGAGGATGAGTCAGTCATGCCAGCAACACACCCCCTCCAGAGAGGGCCACCGGCTGCAGCCTTGCAGAGCCAACCTGAGCAGGACATGCCGAGGGGGCTATCGGGGCAAAGCCCTACTGCAGGCTCAGGCAGCACAAAACACTGCTTTGGAAAAGCCCTCCTGGCAATGGAGGGACAGGGAAAGACACTGCACAGGGGTGCATCCCTTTGCAGTTCACTTGGTCTACGATGATTTTGGTATGGAGGGCTGCAGGAGCCCAGTCACCTGTTTAAAGAGTGCTGCTTTTAAGATGGTGACAGCACCCTCTTTCTGCCGGGTTTATCACCAACCAGCTTACAGTTTGGGGTATTTAGGTCCTGATCCTGCAAACCCTTAAGCAGGGTACTGGGCTCTAATATACTACTGCTGCAATTAACACTGGTCCTGAGGGCATTTAACTAAGCTGCAGCACTCTGGAGAGTTAAGTACTTTCATTCTGAGTTGGTCTTCCTATCGGCTTAAGGCAGCAAAGGGACTGATTTTAGGACTGATTTTCTGGTTCTCAGCTTGAAGGTTTTGAGGTGAAGGCCAAAGACTCCTCTGCCATTCCCCAGGACATGAGCTTTCAGAGAGACAGAAGAAAAAAGTCCAGGCACACACCACGATACCTAAGAGATCACAGAGGCAAAGCTTTCTAGACAGGGGTTTGAGAAGAGATCCACTGGGGATCCGAGGCCACTACTGGGGATCCGAGGCCACAAGTCCTAACACACCGCTACTCTATGTTAATGTTGTCTCTGCACTACATTATATTTTGAGCAATTAAAAGAGCATTGGTCACGAATAAAGGTCAAAGTTATAAACTGCACATCCTCCCTGCCAGGCTGGAAATATTTCAGTGTGGAAAACTAAACAAAGGTAAGTTTAAGTTGGGGTTGAACTACCTGAGGGGCACCTGATGTAAGCCAAAGAAAACATGTTTTCCAGCTATGGGACCTGAACAGAGGCGGCTTGAGTTGGAGTTTAGATGCTGAGCAGACCTGGTGTTCAAGTAATCTCTGTACTTTTCAGACAGGCTGGTCTTCTGAGCTTAACGCAAGAGCAGTGTGACAAATGGGAGAGAGAAAGAGGGTAGAAAAATGCACCAGAACTGTGTAAACCAGCAACACTCTTTAAAAATGTATGTGGAACTCACAGCCCAAGCTGCAGAGACCTAAGAGAGTGCTTATGGACTCAAGCCAAGCCCAGAAAGCAAGTTTTCCTCTTGGTAAGCAAGCATTTACAAGTCCAGTGAAGGTTTCCATTGTGAAGAGGCCAATTCATGTTCCCTGAGGTACAGCCACATAAGATACTGGATTTCAAAACCTCTGCCAAAGCCCCTGCAGCAGTTTTGCAAGCAGGAGCAGAGCAGAGGGGCCAAAGGTGATGCTGTCTGGATACCACAGCTAAAGCAAATATTTACACAAGAACAATGCCAACAGGCTGCTCTGGCTACTACTGTCCTTTCAAGCCTAAAATTTCATTGCCCCAGTCAGCTGCTGCAAGCTTCCCACCAAGCAAAGCATTTAAAATAGCTATCTCCTTATGCATCAGAGCAGCAGACTGAGTTATCACCTTAATTAGCATTTGTGTGTCAAGGGAGCCATTTTAATCATTTCATATCTCTGCATCTCTGTCCTGATCTCACAAAGACCATTCTCAGCACAGAGCAATGGTAACTGCTCCAAGCACCAGGCAAAGCTGCTGAAGATAAAAAAAAACAAGAACTGCTAATCACTGTTTGGCATCCCCTGTAAGGGGATAAAGAGCCACTCTTTGGGCACAACAGGGGCCGTGCACAAAGGCTCTTTATAAAAGGGACAACCTGCATCTCTTTTAGGTGACCTTAATTCAATTCAGTAATTTATAGTTTGCTGTATAACAAGCTTAAGAAAAGCAAAGCTATTGGCAGTGGGCTTGCAGACCTTTCAGAGGCTCACTACAGTCCAAGTGCAGGAAGCACAAGTTCTAGATAGCTGTTCCCCAACATGTGCTGAGAAGAGCCAGCAGGCTACCTCAGAAGAAGCAAAGGCTGGGAGCATTCCCCTCACAGGTCAGCGAGGGGCCATGTTGTACAGAACAGGGTTAATCAATATGTAATAGTCTCCTCTATCTGCTGGAGTGGGAAAATAAAACCCTACTGCTTTCCCGCTCTGACAAGGTCTGGGAACTGTTCCTTAAAGCTTCCTGAGCCAATATGGACCAGGAGTCAACAGGCTCTGGAGAGCAGCAAGGCCTTGCCTGGACCCCTCAGCATGCTCTGCTCCTTGGCCTGCTGATCATGGTGGTGTTCCCTGCCAGTGCCCGATGTCTCTCGGGTCAGCTGTACTTCGTGGAGCTGTTCTGGGGCTCCAGCTGCACCCTGTGTCCTTCCACCCATCCCTCTGCTGGCTTCAGTGACAGCGGAGCCCAGAGCTGCCAGTGCAGAAGTGATCCACCCAGAAACACCCTCGCTCCCACCCAGCCCGCTCACGCCAGGTTTTGCACACCTGAAGGCAGGGCTCTAGCGCAGGCAGTGCTGCACACCGGCTGCACCCCCCAGCCCCATTTCACCGTGCAGGGCTCCCTCCATTCCCACTGCACGGTGCCCGCCAGGCAGCAGCACCCCAGCCCCATTTCACAGTGCGTGGGGTCCCCTTGGCTGCATCGCTCCATGCGCCCCGACTGCAGCGCCCCTGCCCCGTTTCACAGCACGGGGGCCCTCCATGCCCTGCTGCACTGCGCACCCCCCAGCAGCACCCCGGTCCCAGTTCTTGGCGCAGAGGGTGCCCGCAGCCCCACTGCTCGGCGCAGAGGGTGCCCGCAGCCCCACTGCTCGGCGCAGAGGGTGCCCGCAGCCCCACTGCTCGGCGCAGAGGGTGCCCGCAGCCCCACTGCTCGGCGCAGAGGGTGCCCGCAGCCCCACTGCTCGGCGCAGAGGGTGCCCGCAGCCCCACTGCTCGGCGCAGAGGGTGCCCGCAGCCCCACTGCTCGGCGCAGAGGGTGCCCGCAGCCCCACTGCTCGGCGCAGAGGGTGCCCGCAGCCCCACTGCTCGGCGCAGAGGGTGCCCGCAGCCCCACTGCTCGGCGCAGAGGGTGCCCGCAGCCCCACTGCTCGGCGCAGAGGGTGCCCGCAGCCCCACTGCTCGGCGCAGAGGGTGCCCGCAGCCCCACTGCTCGGCGCAGAGGGTGCCCGCAGCCCCACTGCTCGGCGCAGAGGGTGCCCGCAGCCCCACTGCTCGGCGCAGAGGGTGCCCGCAGCCCCACTGCTCGGCGCAGAGGGTGCCCGCAGCCCCACTGCTCGGCGCAGAGGGTGCCCGCAGCCCCACTGCTCGGCGCAGAGGGTGCCCGCAGCCCCACTGCTCGGCGCAGAGGGTGCCCGCAGCCCCACTGCTCGGCGCAGAGGGTGCCCGCAGCCCCACTGCTCGGCGCAGAGGGTGCCCGCAGCCCCACTGCTCGGCGCAGAGGGTGCCCGCAGCCCCACTGCTCGGCGCAGAGGGTGCCCGCAGCCCCACTGCTCGGCGCAGAGGGTGCCCGCAGCCCCACTGCTCGGCGCAGAGGGTGCCCGCAGCCCCACTGCTCGGCGCAGAGGGTGCCCGCAGCCCCACTGCTCGGCGCAGAGGGTGCCCGCAGCCCCACTGCTCGGCGCAGAGGGTGCCCGCAGCCCCACTGCTCGGCGCAGAGGGTGCCCGCAGCCCCACTGCTCGGCGCAGAGGGTGCCCGCAGCCCCACTGCTCGGCGCAGAGGGTGCCCGCAGCCCCACTGCTCGGCGCAGAGGGTGCCCGCAGCCCCACTGCTCGGCGCAGAGGGTGCCCGCAGCCCCACTGCTCGGCGCAGAGGGTGCCCGCAGCCCCACTGCTCGGCGCAGAGGGTGCCCGCAGCCCCACTGCTCGGCGCAGAGGGTGCCCGCAGCCCCACTGCTCGGCGCAGAGGGTGCCCGCAGCCCCACTGCTCGGCGCAGAGGGTGCCCGCAGCCCCACTGCTCGGCGCAGAGGGTGCCCGCAGCCCCACTGCTCGGCGCAGAGGGTGCCCGCAGCCCCACTGCTCGGCGCAGAGGGTGCCCGCAGCCCCACTGCTCGGCGCAGAGGGTGCCCGCAGCCCCACTGCTCGGCGCAGAGGGTGCCCGCAGCCCCACTGCTCGGCGCAGAGGGTGCCCGCAGCCCCACTGCTCGGCGCAGAGGGTGCCCGCAGCCCCACTGCTCGGCGCAGAGGGTGCCCGCAGCCCCACTGCTCGGCGCAGAGGGTGCCCGCAGCCCCACTGCTCGGCGCAGAGGGTGCCCGCAGCCCCACTGCTCGGCGCAGAGGGTGCCCGCAGCCCCACTGCTCGGCGCAGAGGGTGCCCGCAGCCCCACTGCTCGGCGCAGAGGGTGCCCGCAGCCCCACTGCTCGGCGCAGAGGGTGCCCGCAGCCCCACTGCTCGGCGCAGAGGGTGCCCGCAGCCCCACTGCTCGGCGCAGAGGGTGCCCGCAGCCCCACTGCTCGGCGCAGAGGGTGCCCGCAGCCCCACTGCTCGGCGCAGAGGGTGCCCGCAGCCCCACTGCTCGGCGCAGAGGGTGCCCGCAGCCCCACTGCTCGGCGCAGAGGGTGCCCGCAGCCCCACTGCTCGGCGCAGAGGGTGCCCGCAGCCCCACTGCTCGGCGCAGAGGGTGCCCGCAGCCCCACTGCTCGGCGCAGAGGGTGCCCGCAGCCCCACTGCTCGGCGCAGAGGGTGCCCGCAGCCCCACTGCTCGGCGCAGAGGGTGCCCGCAGCCCCACTGCTCGGCGCAGAGGGTGCCCGCAGCCCCACTGCTCGGCGCAGAGGGTGCCCGCAGCCCCACTGCTCGGCGCAGAGGGTGCCCGCAGCCCCACTGCTCGGCGCAGAGGGTGCCCGCAGCCCCACTGCTCGGCGCAGAGGGTGCCCGCAGCCCCACTGCTCGGCGCAGAGGGTGCCCGCAGCCCCACTGCTCGGCGCAGAGGGTGCCCGCAGCCCCACTGCTCGGCGCAGAGGGTGCCCGCAGCCCCACTGCTCGGCGCAGAGGGTGCCCGCAGCCCCACTGCTCGGCGCAGAGGGTGCCCGCAGCCCCACTGCTCGGCGCAGAGGGTGCCCGCAGCCCCACTGCTC